CGGTCTGCGGCGGGGCGGGGGTGCAGGGCCAGGGGGCGCTTCTCGGATGCTCCGCGCGGCGCCGTCACCCCCAAGCACCCGACCCGAGGCTCGGCGGGGCCGCCCCTCCCATCCCCACCGCACCCTCTCCCCGCCCCCACCCGCCGGCCCTTCGGTGCCGCCGCCGCCTCGTCCCCGGAACGGGTCGAGTGGCTTCAGCTCTCCCGGCTTTGTGCAGCCCTCCCCCCTCCGCCGTAGCACTGCGAGGGGCGCGGGCGGAGCAGTGGACGGAATGGCTGCGCTGCCGCTGGGGAAGCGATTTTTCCCGGATCGGAGCAGCTAACACTGCCGATCCTTTTTTGTGGTTGGTTCTGGGATGTGGGGTGGTTGGCCGGGAGGTCAGGCGAGGAGCCTTTCGGACGCGGTCGGAGGGCGTGGAAGACGTGGTTGCACGCACCCTGCCAGGCGACTGCACCCGGCGCAGGCTCTGGCTCCGTAGTAAACCCGGGGGAGGAGAGAGTGGCTTCCTGTCAGCTTCATTGTCCTAAGATTCAAATGTGGGGCTTTGGTGTGGTTGGTTCCCTTCATTTTATTATCCAAGGGAAAAAAATATTGGCAGCTGCCTAACGCTGGGCGGGAAGACCTGGGATTCGTATCCTAAGTCACAGAATCTCTGTTTTTTGGTGTTCAGTAGAGTGCTCTTTATTTATTTGAAGAACGTAAGCTCCTGGAAGACAGGGACAGTGCCTGTGCAAGCATTGCCAAGGTGATCAATATAAAATTACTAGATGACGGTGAAGACTGGGCTAGCGAGGGCCTGACGACGAAGCTATTGTGTAGCAGGGAAATGAAGCAGCAGAATTGTTTTTTCGCTGGGTGGGTAACGCATTCACGTTCCTAAGGGGATACAGTAGGATACATTCTGCCGTTTTGTTTATTTAAGCAATCAAAGCAAACAAAAAACAGGTCCTGTTCGTTTCTGTTTCTGAATTTATTTGTGCATATTTTTATTCTCTTTCTGAAAATTTATTCCCATTTGAGAGAAATGTGGTGAAGCATAAGAAAATTGATTGAAAATGCATCTTTTAAAATGGTTTGATCCTTAACTTACAAGGCTTCCAGCCGTTTGCTGGCGATAAAACAAATAGAGAATGAAGAAGAATGGGGAGGAGCAGGTGGAGGAATAATGTGAGAGGAGAGAGTTACAGTATGAATACAGTATCTAGATCTTCACTGATAGAATCCTACCTGGGTGTGCTGATTTAGGAATTCACCTCTGGAAATACTACATTGCAAGTTACAAGCCATTTTATAATTTTCTACCATTATTCTTTTTAAGTTACACTTGGGCTGCTTTTAGTTCTTTCTAACTTTTTAACTATTGCATTATTTTGGTGTTTTAAAACTGAAGAGTCTAAGTGCACTTGACAGAGACAGAGGAAGACACTAAAATTTTGAAAGTTAACTGACTGTCCAAGCCAGACTGCTAATGAAAGGGGCAGCCAAATAAAACGGAGGCCTGTTCTGCAGAGAGCTCCTTCCACCGTGTCCTCCAGTCCCCCCACCCTGCGCACATTTATGGAATGCTTCTGTACGGTCTCTTGTGTTGTCTGTGACAGTCAAGTTCATTGATACCCAGTTGTATTAATCGTAATCCCTTTCTTTGTAATGTAAAAATAGTAATTAATTCTACTGGAGTGAAGTAAAAATGGTAATTCTACTGGAGTGAAACTTCAGTTTTATAAATTAACTTACTAATACCATAACATGGGCTTTTTATAAAAACAGAAACTTGGAAATTTTTTCCTTACTACTTATTAGTAACCATAGTTTAATGTTATTTCCCGATATTCAGGAATGGTTTACAGTATGATTAGCTCTATAAGCTCTGTTAAAATAAAATTGCCACATAACAAGAACCTATGAAGTTCATTTTTCTTCGTTTAAAGAATTATATTAAGTATAAGAATTTACCTTTTGAGAAAAAAATTTGAACTTTTTATCAAAATTAAATTTATGCTTTTTTATTGAGTGGATTTTTCCATAAAGTGTTTTTTGTTGTCTTGTAATTTTGTTGCCTTAAATTCTACATTGCATTTTAATTGACTTTTAAAAAAAGAATTTAAAATTCTTAAATTTCAACTTGCTTAAAAATAATTAAGTTCATTATGTAGAATTATATTAAATCAAACTTGAAATGTATTTTAATGGTAAATTTCATGATGTTCTAAAATTACTTTGTATGGAAATAACCATCTGCATGTTTTTTATCTTCGCATTAATATAGTGAGGTTTACACTATAAAATTATTGTACATTATGCCTTTTAATGCACATACGAAGGTATTTTTACAAATTTCTGGGCCTAGTGATTTGTTTTATTCCAAGTATCAGTTTCTTGTTTCTTTTTATCACTGAGAAAAAAACTTGTTTTATTGTTGCATCTGATAGTAATCAGATATCCCTCATCTAGTATTGAATACTGTTTATGTTTAAAGTTATCAACATGTGTTTTAGTCAACAAAATTTATTCCTGAAAAATAATTTTTGCTATTTTAATTAATGAGTAATGAATTTTTTCTTCTCTATTGTGAATATTAGCAATGTTAAGCTATCCTAATAAATACCTAACATACTGCATGGTATTAAATTGCCAACTAAAATATTCATACAGTTGCAGATTATACTGAAAGTATAACAAAAGAACAATTACATACTATCTGAAAAATTCTTGATAGATAAATAATATTGGCTGCAGCATTAAATGTTGATGTGTTTCAGTAAGAAATCATTTTCCTCTTATGGGGAGAAACCGTGGACCATCTTTATTTCATAAACTTTTGTTATAACTGAGATTTCTGATAAACCACTACCCTTGGTGGAATTGGTTTTCATGTATTTACTCATATTCTTGAGCCAGTATGAGTGATATAAAAGAATAAGAAAATATACATCTGATAGTATGGTTGAGCAGACTGGATATATAGTCCAGTTAGTTGAAATGATTGTGCAGCAATATATTATAATTTTTTTTTGGCTAAAATAAATCACATAGCCAATTTGTACTGAAGATGAAGCCTACTTTTATGTCAGACAAAGATAGAAAGGAAACCAATAAAATAAGGTTAAAGAAAACCTTATAAAAATTACTTACATACAAATAGGGATTATACACAGCATAGAAGTGGAAAAGAATCCCAAGCAAAAATTGCTTAGGTTTGAAGAACAAAACGTGAGACCTAGAGGAGAATGTCATTGTTTAAGTATAAGTATATCAGTAATTAATAAATAATATAGAAAAGATTACCTTTTGAGACATGATATTTATGAAATAAACTTATCGTTTCTTGAGCACCTACTATATGCCAGGCAGAGAGAGAGAGAGAGAGAGAGAGAGAATGTGTGTGTCTGATTCATGCAACAGTCTTGTATTATTTTACACATTAGTTGAGAATATCTGAGACTCAGAGTTCATGAATAATTTTGCCTCTGTGTCACACATTACTAAGTAATGTGTAGAGACTATGATTGAAACTTCATCTTTTCAACTAAAGCCAAAATTCTTTCCACTTATGTTTTTTTATTAAGTTAAAAAGGCAACATTTATTCTCTTCTAATTTACAGAATTTTTAGATTACAGGAGACTTTAGAAGTCATGTCATGCAATACTACTACTAATATTCCTGAGATCTTATTAAAGCCAGCTTCAACATGAACAACATTTCCATGAACAAATGGACATAGGATGGCTCATTTGGCTTTTAAAAAGTAGAGGAGGATCTTACTTAAATTGAGCTAATATCTGCTATACTATATAATTTATAATTTCTTCCCATTGGTCGCAGTTCTTTCTTTATGAGTGAGATATGATCTATCAGTAAAGTTTTTCTCAATATATTAGGTCTCTCTGCTAAGTTTTCTCTTTCCTAAATTAAACATTACAACCCTTACAACTTTATGTGATTCAGTTCTCTTTATTTTTCTCTTCTCTGTCAACTAATTCAGTCAGTTTTGTCAGTGCTGTTCTTTTTTGTTCTG